CCCACTGCCTTGTGGGTCAGACTTTTGAGTCGAAGGTTCCGGTTAGGGTTCCCAAAGAAAAACCCCTTCGTCGGTGTGGGCAACCGCTAAGTATGCAGTGCCTTAAAGTCTTAGGCACCCATTTGTAAAACCATCCTTCCCTTCTGTCTGGTTCTTCCCCTCAATCCCGAATAATCCCAGATGCCTCCTGTTTACGCCACTCATCGAATATCACTTAGCGTTTTACCATCAAGGCCAGAGATTCAGAAGCTATAGGATTTTTGAAGCCCAAATTCCCTTTTCACTTGGCCGCGTTCAATGTCCGCCCACTATCAGATTGCTCAACAAGCTGCCCTGGATAAAACTCTCGAAACGTTCAATGTAGATGTGTGTTGCGTCTCCGAAGCACGCATACAAAACCCTACTTCCATTATCTCTCTGCGTTTTCCTGATCCAACCTCAACCTCACGCTTCACCCTCCGTGTGTCGGGCGATTCGGCATCCGAAGCTCGAGGTGTTGCTGGTGTCGGGATTGCGCTAAGTGCCAAGGCTGAGCGCTCGCTTCTTGACTGGATTCCAGTCAGTAGCCGACTGTGCGTTGTACGTCTCAACGGCTCAGCACTGGTCAACAGCTACAGAACGAAGCGTCCGTGCTTATTCGTCGTATTGGTGCATGCACCAACCGATTGCAATGCACCTTAAATCAAGGACGAATTCTACAAGGATCTCTCACAACTGCTCTAAAGTGCTCGGTCAACGGACATCGTAGGAGTCGCCGGGGAATTCAATACTCAAGTGGGATCACTGGACGAATCCGAAAGGTTTCTTGGCGAGCCACATGCAATCCCAGCCAACCGGACGGACAACGGAGATCGCCTACTTCAACTCTGCGCAGAACACGGATTGATTCTGTGAAACGAAGCTCTCACACGAAACGACCGCCTTACATGAAAGTCACCAATCTCTTCACTGCGCCGGACCCAGATCGACCATATCGCCATCAGTTACTGCTGGAGAGGGTCGATCCAAAACTACCGTTCTTACTGGTCCACACCTGTGGATATAAATGCTACGAGCCAAGTTCTCCTTACGCATGACAAATAACCGCAAGAAAACCACCGACAACGGATATCCACGGTACGGCGTCAGCGGTTGCTTCAAATCGGTGTTTGAAGCGGAACTCTCCGATCGCCTATCAGCTCAATTACCAGCCGAAGGACTCGGTGAACACTGGAATCAAATCAAGGAAGCTATAAAAATATCGATAAGAACAACGTCGGACCCTACCGCAAGCTCAAAACACAAACGATGGATTTCGTCAACCTCGGCTGCCCTGCTGGAAGCTCGCAGAACCCTACCTCCGGATGCCACATATGACACAGCGCGCAAATCCCTCAAACGCCAGCTCATCCGGAGTCTGAGAAATGACCGAGCGAGGCGGTGGGTAGAAAGGTGTAGAGAAATGGAGAAAGATACGGCTATTCGTAATAGTCGCAATCTTTTCCGTCTAATTGAGAATACTGGCCCTAGGAAAATAGGCGTAAGTGAGGTATAAGGGAATCCGATGGCACACTGATTCACGATCAGCAACGCCATTTCGACCGTTGGGCTGAACATTTCGAGACTCAGTTCAACTGGCCCCCATCGACTTCTGAACTATCACCGTCCACCCCGACTGGGCGAATACTCCCAGTTGATACTAGTCCTCCATTTGAAATGGAGGTATCTCGGGAAGTAGGTTATCTCAAAAGGCCTAAGGCCTTCGGCCTAGACGGGTTGTCCCCATCGGTTGTTAAGGATGGTGGCTCAGCCTTAGTCTCGGAGTTAACAAAGCTCCTGGGCTCAGTGTGGGGGAAAGTACAGGTTCCAACTGAATGGTGTGAATCGGTCATCATAACGATTTACAAGAAAGATGACAGATCCTCATGTGAAAACCACAGATGAATTCGTTTAACTAACATTGTCTCTAAACTTCTCGCTGGCACTATACTCCGTCGGTTGTCTGCCGCAAGTGAACGGTGCACGCGTGAGAACCAGACTAGCTTTATACCTGGTCGAGGTTGTATCGACCACATCTTCACTCTTGGCCAAACTCTGAAGCACCGACATTCCTTTCGCAGACCCATCATCTCTATCTTCCTGGACCTGAAAGCGGCTTTCGACTCAGTCGACCGCTCTAAACTCTGGCTCTGCCTTTTTCTGAAAGGCGTGCCCGAGAAGTTAATTTCAGTATTACAATCCCCTTATACTAATAGCCGAAGTCGAGTCCGGGTTTACGGCACGTTTTCGAACGAGTTCATTGCAGAAAGTGGTGTTCGTCAGGGTTGCCCTCTCTCCATTTCTATTTAACTTTGTTATAGATCTGATTATGGAAACAGCCCTATCCTCGTGCGAGGATAGTGGCATCCATTTACTCCCACATGGCAGGCTGTTTGATCTAGAATATGCAGACGACATTGTGCTACTAAGTGAAGATTTAAGTAAGTTACAAGCTTTTCTGGATAGTTCGGGCGCTAGTTGTAACCAGTTTCGGTATGCGTTTTGCACCTTCAAAGTGTAAAATGTTAATTCAAGACTGTGTTGATCCTGCATCCAGTCTCATTCTAACTGGGGAAGTAATAGAGCAGGT